ATATATATATATATAGTACATATATACAATACACATTGAATTATTTAAGCATTAAAGGTCTAGCTTTGATGGGTATAGGAATTTCTAGTTCGTATTAATATATAATAAATTGTATAATAATAAGTGTCCAAGGAACATATAGAAGTCAACAAAAAAATCCAAATAACTTTATTTTGATCTTTAATATCAATAAATAGCCAAATTTTATAACAAAAAAATCATCAAGACTTCCATAAAGTCTTTTTTTACTTTCTCTTGATTGAGTATGTTCCTTAGAAAAAGTATTAATAAGATTTTTTATAATTCCATTTCGAGTAGTTAAAATGTGTTGTAGAATAGAATAGACGAGGCTTCCCTGAATTCTTTTTGGAGACATAAACATGTACATGAACAAATTATACACATTACTCGACAAAAAGAAAGACCGCAGTTTCTTCCATCGACAAACGGAAGAAATTGCTACACGTAAATCGCTCGTTTGCGGAATGCAGTTCGTGGACGGCGTGTCGTGTAAGTCGTGTTGCACAGCTAAATGTTATTAATCCTCTGAGTTCTTTTTGAAATGTACATAAACAAATTATACACATTACATGACAAAAAGGAGATCGCAATCTTTTTCCATCGAGAAAAAAATATCGTCTTCAAAGTCACTTATTTGCGGAATGTAATTCGTGGATGGCGTGTGTATGTGTTTTGTGTGTGTGTGTGTGTGTGCGCGCACGCGTGTATGTCGTGTTGCAGCTAAATGTCGTGTAGTTAAAAGTTAATTTCGTTAGTCTTAAAATTGACAAATTCAACATTACCTGTATTTTTCACGTCTGCGCGTCCGTAGTCACCCTCGAAGATCGCCCTCTTCATGACTGTACAGTTTGGCACACCAGCAGGCAGGGAGAAGTTAGCAAAAGAGGGTGGGTGTCGAGGTCACGTGATGTGTCGGAGAATGTTTTCAATATCCTCGATTTTAGGACTCATTCCGGGTCATCGACAGTTATCACATCGATCTTTTTTCCAGTGAACGCATGCAAAAATTTCAAACAACAAGTTTCGAAGGGTCGGGGGGAGGAAAATAGGGGACACCATAGTATAGCCATAGTAGATAATAAAAAGATTCGTCGTGGATGCGCTGTGTCGAAAAATTTCGGCATCACGTAATGTGTTTTATTTTCCGAAATCTTGCCTCCACACACAATGAGACGAGCGGTGGTGAGACGTACAAGATGGTCCTCAAAGTCCTTGTGAACCTTTTGATTTGTTATGTCAAAAAATTATAAGGGTACAAGCAGAAAGCTGTCTTAATCATTGAATAAGTGGGCCACAAACGCGTCATTCATTATCATTTTATTGTACTAAAATACTAAATGTTTTTTCATACACATATTTTGGAATCAGCAACTTTTTTTGTTTCTTTTTATTCGAACCAAACAACCGTTACTGAGTATAATCCCGCAAATCATCCTATAAATAATTTTAAAAATATCATCTCGCCGAAACTTTAATCTTACTTTATTACTTACGAAGAAAGAAATTATAAATAAAAAGATTTCCCTTCTGAATTTTAAATGTATATATTCAGTAATCTCTAAATTTCATATACTAATTCTGGCCCACCAACATCTGAATGTCTTAAGCCAGCTGTGGTTACAATAAATATTCGAAATATGATGGAGTGGATAACAGACAACCAGAGAGAAAAAAAAGATTGAAAAATTAAAGTAGTTTTAGGCTGGAAAATAAATTGAATCGAATGCTTATTACTTACATCATATTAAGTGTTCAAATCTTTTTCTGATGGCAATAATCGCCGAGTTTAAGCGAGAATTATTATTTCGATTAGTAGGCCAATCGTCGGAGGATCGAGAAACGCATTAGTAACACATGATTCTTTTATTATAACAAGTAATGCATTATATATCATTCCGTCGTCATATACTCTCACTTGTTATAATGTCGCTCCGTACGAACTCAAATTGAATACACGACAAAGGCAAATCGGACGATAAATAAAACAAATTGTGAACGCCAACACACGAGGGAGTGGCGCAATAATTACATGATAACATAATTGTACTTATATGCATAGACTTGATCGTAACACGCGCAACAGTCGGATTCGTGTATACAATTTCTCTTTAATCTTTCTATATTTTTATATTTCTCTGTTTCTACGAAATTTGATATATAATTCACATCCGGAATTATATTCTCGACTATCTTTCGCCGCGGAGCGCGTCCGCGGCGAGTGTATATATTCGAAATCACTCGATGTTATAGTATTCCATAAGTTATTAATATTAATATTAACTTCGTTATCGTTAGAGAAATAGGTACTTCCTGAAGGAAACGACGCGATCGTAGCCTCATCATCGCTGGACACTGCGTTTTCATTGTCAACGTCACACAAGGATCAATAAGAAATGTCTACCGACGAGCTAATTAACTCTCAGCACACATACATTTTGACAGTTAATAAATTATAATTAATAAATATAATATACGAAGCGAATACAATAAATATAAATCGTTTCTTCTTTATATAACAGCATTATATGAAATATATGTTAATGAAGCTAGGATTGTAACTTTTTAATCAAGCATTGATATTTGCGTGACGTCGCGCAGTATACTTTCGTCGTGATGGCACTACCCCGTCATTCTCGGTCAACATAAAATACAATGCACACTCCAAGTACTTACAGATACATCGTGGACGAAGTTAGGAATCCGGATGCGAGGGAACAATAAATGACGAATCTCGAAAAAAATCGTACGAGTATGTAAATACATTAATGAAAAGGAAATCATTCTGTTTATCTTAAATTTAATGACAGATCATCTCCAATCATTTGAGAATCAAGAAATAAAAGAGGATCAAGAATATATCATTTCGTTGACATAATATTTCAAAAATGATAGGATGAAAAATGTATCATTTCGTTGAATATATTCTCATATTTGTCGGACTTTAAAAATTCAACAGTTTACTCTCACACAGCATACTTTATCCGAGAGACGTCTCGGGTCGCCTTAGGACGTTCAAAAGACATCTTTAAAACGTCTTTAGGACATTCTTTGGAGGTTTGTGCTGTGTGGGATGCAAAAAATTGAAATTCGCGCAACTTTCGAGATCCGTCACTTGGGTCCCCTTGTAATCCGTGCTCTCCGATTAATTTCGTCGAACTTATTGAGCGTCATAGAGAACTGCATTAGACTGTTCGCATTGATCCCCGCGTTCGTACCTGTACTCCAATAACACATGCTAATTACTCGCGCGTCCGAATATCCGAATAGGCACAACATTCATTGTTCTATGCCACAGTGGGTAAACATGATAATGGCAAGTATTACACAGGAAGCCTCGGAATTCGGAGAATATAAAAAAATCGCAGTCTAATCCTAATCGATATTCGCTCTGAAATTTCTTGAACTGATATTCGTGGGTCCAGTATATCTACTTTATATATCTTTGCTCAAACTTAACGTAATCGAACGATTTGTTATTGATATTGAAGATCAAAATCCGAGAAACAAGATGATGCAAAATTAAGATTGAAAAAAATAAATTTGTCACATCGCAGTTAAAGAAAATGTCCAATCCGAATATCAATTAGGGTCAACATTTTTATGAGATATAGATACACAATTATAAGAACAAATCTCTTTTAGTGATAATTAAATATTATGTATCCTTCTTGATGAACTTTTATTCCGCTGCGAATTGTAGAATTCATCCACGCGAATGGATTTTCCTTCAAGTAACATTGAGGACAAATATCGCACAGGTATCGATCGCAGAGGATGCAAAGCCAGTAGTTTTATCTCGTGCTAAAAATTAAACTGCGAAACAAAACACTATTCGAGACACAAGTTCGTTAGTGCGGCAGCGCTAACTCGTTCGGTCTGATTAAGTTTTAATTATGCCCATACCAAAGTATCACGCCTTAACCGTTAACTAATTAATTAATTATATTACAATGTCGCGCCGCGCGACCGCGGTGGATTCCTGAATCGCCGGATGCGGCGCAATTAAATTATTATGCGTCGCGCGCCGAAGAAGAGAAAAAAAAATAAAGAAAACGCAGCGGACGCGTCCGCTTCTCTCCGGAACACATCGTCAGTCTTGTTGCGTTTGCACGTGTTTGCGGAGAAGCGTCTCGCGCGCTGCGTCTTGCGCGCTGAATTGCGAACGGCCGAAATTACGGCGATCTCTGCGAAGATCTGGATGATACCTTGGATCGTGCGCTGCCGACGGAAGTGAACCACTTAAATCCACCATTTACGACACGATACTGCTCTTTGCCCTCTTATCGATTACTTTCTTTTCTAATCGAATGTAGCTGGAAATATCGTTTCGTAAGGGATGATTTTACGTCAGTAAACGAGGAAAGAAAGAATCGAGAAATTGCTGTCTTTATTAGCACTTAATCGATTTCAGTCTTTCTTCCTTGATTAGCGATCGCTTAGGTCGCCGACAGGATACGGTCTAAGGGATGAACTGACTAAGCAGCCAGATGTTTCGAAGGCCCACGTACTCGTGACGACACCGATTATTCATTTCGTTATGTGGCAGTGACCGAATTCGCGTTCACTCAATCGAGAAATTCCTCGACTAATTAGGGACTAAGTTTACTTTCAATGCAAAAATTCGAAGAATCGGCGAACATCTGAGACATTGGAAGTGAGAAAATGGAAAAGTTTAAACTTACATGAAACGAATAAATTTTTATTAATAAAATTATTACGATTCAATGAAGCAGAATTATCGCCGATCCTTAAGGAAATTTTATACAAGAAAAAGCCACTAGTCAAATTCTCTTTTACTATGCGTTTAGCATGCAACTTTCATGTTACTTCATTGCTGAAAGTACCAACTCTTCGATTTTAATAACTTAACAAATTAGGTTATTTACGCATATATCCTAAATATTTTTTAACATTTTAAATAATTTATTTAAGGACTATATCAAAAGCAAACTAGGATTCTTCTATACGCATTTAAAAAAGAAACTAAATATGAAAAGATTTTCGGGAACCAGGAATAAAAAATAGATGCGCCTAACTATCACTAAGTATCATTCTTAAGGACAAATTTATTTTTTAAAAAATCTACGCGTCGTTTAATTGATTCTATAATTAATTGTATTCGATTATTATTGATAAAAATGGATAATCAATCCCGATGATGAGTGTATTTGCGTTCGGAACACTGCTCAGATATTGACATGAACGAACGCACTAGAAATTCTATGGACTGCCCCGTCAGTTTCGAGCGTACGAGAGAGGTAATGAGGTCAACTGTTTTTCCTCTGCTTAACGATTGCCTTATCTTACACTTACGAGCCTTTGCAGTCCATATCCGGAAATTAGCGATACGCGAATCTGTTGGATTGCGTAAATCTTTCAAATGCATAAATCACACATATGGATTATACACACACATAGGGAACAGATGTTGTGTTCGCGTACCAAAGAAAAATTAGAAGAAATCCTGCTGTGCCAATCGCGATGATTACTAATTTTGTGACAATTTGTTTCATTCTATCATCTACTTCTAATCTAAAAAAATATTGATTATATAGATATTTACAAAATCTTATTTTACGTTTATTGCATTCGTTACAGACGAAAAATCTCTATAAGAGAATAACTCGCAAAAACATCATCTAATAAAAATAAACTTTTCTGTTTCACTTAAATGTTAAGAATATATCTTAACATGAACGCACAAAGTTAAATTAATCGATTGATCGCATGGCACAGCAGAAGTCAGTATAATTGAAAAGAATAGATTATAAGAAAGGATCTTACAAAACGTGCTATTAATTATACCGTGCATGCATTATCTCTATGGGAAGGAAGACACGGTATGCAGGATACAAAATGAGATCCGTTAGTACGAAGTCCTCGCATTTCCTTGAAATTTCAGCAGACACTCAGACAGCTCCGACTTCAGTTCTGACTTCAGAGTAGAAACGGGCACACCAGAAGCTAAGAATTCATTAATAAATATTTATAACAAGCAACATTGAAAGCAACAGAAAAGAAATGTAAATATAAACAGATTAGTGAGATTATACATTAATCGCGTTAACCGAATGTTGTACTAATTTGTTGCGTGCGTGCATTAAACTGAGCCTGAAAATAAAATCAGGAGACAAATATAATACTACTACTACTAATGTCCGTTCCATCTGTATTTCTGCCGAATGTTTTATTGTCTTCGTTGTGTAAACGTGCGTATTATTCTACAAAAATGATACAATCGCAAATGCATTTATTTGCGTCGAAACCGAAGTTACTATCCCCGATATGGTTAGAGGGTGAACTACTTTGTACTTTTCAAATCGACCAAAGATCAATAATACGCTTCGAACATACAAAGATATAAAAGTTTATGTCGTAATATTATTAATCGGCAAGAAACACAGATGGAAGACATTCGTAAATTAATGTGAATTTTAATTGTGTTAGTACATTATCAGGATCTGCTACAATTACCAGATAATTCATCTGTTGCTAATCGAAACGTGTATAAGATTAAAAAAAGTATAAATAATAGTGCAAAAAAACGGAGGAGGATTAGGACGTCGAACATATCGGAAATATCTATATCGGAAAGAACATCTATGAACAGTTTTCGTGTTTGTTGCAGAGGAAATTCAATGTTCAAAAGGCACTCGTAGAAAATAATTTAACGATCACAATCTTTGATTTACGACGGGGTCTCTCTTAGATCACTCGATGCCACTCGAAACCCGTGATCGTTGAGCGACGTCAGGGTACGGTGTGTGATGCGGGCATGGTGGGCCTTGGTGGCATATTTCATATATGATCGTACTAACACCATGCACAACAGTCAAATTTGTTAAAATCTCACTTGAACGCACTCTGTTAATAACTTATCTCGCGCCTTCCCGCGTCACGGTGGGAAGAGCTTCGGTTAAATGCAATTGCGAGTTCAAGGATTTAGTCGCGGATGTTTTTCCATAGGAAAAAAACATCGTCTGCTAGACTAATATTATTATTTCACGGACGTTCTATATGGGACAGATATGCAACAGTCCAAAGAACACAGCCCACATTAGAACGATCCAATGCACGGTGTAAATTGGATTCTCACCGTCTGTGATCTTTCTGGCAACGAACTTCAAGGTTTCGTCGAGAAGTACCACTGGAATGGAGAACTTCATAACGGTAACCCATTCTTCACCCGTTAGTGGGCACACTTGGAATACGGACTGAAACAAAACAGTTAACAGTGCTTACAACTTTTACTCTTCAAATTGAAATAATAAGAGTCTTTAACCATTCGCTTCTAAAGTCTTGATAGCAATTTTGAAGTAAATAATTACTTACTGAAAGAACATCGACATACAAGATGACAAAATGGAGTGTGAAAGAAAGAGCCATGGATGCAATGAGCCACATGTTGGACCAAGGCGGCATGCTGATAAGCGACTGATTCTCAGACAAGCTGTAGAGAATATAAATTTATTACAATTCTGAAACAATGCTTATATAAAATATGTTACAAGTTACTTTCTTACCTGTTCATGGCATTTAACATTTCAATGGTGACCAATACAGAGAGAGCCATAGTCATGGGATGAGGATCAGCAAAGATCTTGCAATTAATACCCTTGAATTCATTTCCACCGCCAATACATGCCAAGTGGTGAGTCTATATTGTGCAAATAATGGATGTTAATTAGAGAGTAATTATTCAAATCTTCAAATAATTCTGAATATAAACGATGCAAATTCTTGTCAAAACTTACAACTTGATAGTAATTCATTTGAGGGCCATTTGGACTGTACATGAACCACCAAGCAGCTGAACCGACGGTGGCAGCGCCTACATATCCACCAATAGCTAAGTAACGGAAAAACAACCATCCAGAAATCAGGGATTCGTCAGCTTTACGAGGAGGCTGTAAAAAAAATGTATGAGTCAATAAAGCTGCATTTGATGTATGACAGTAATGCATCTCTTTAATTGTTACATTACCTTGCTCATAATGTCCAAATCAGGTGGATTGAAACCGAGAGCAGTAGCTGGAAGACCATCAGTGACCAAGTTGACCCACAGAAGTTGGACCGGAATCAGTGCTTCGGGAAGACCAAGGGCGGCGGTCAAGAATATACTGTAAAGTAACATACAAACGGATAATGATTCAATCTTAACTCCTCACTATACTCATATCGTAAATACCTGACAACTTCACCGATATTGGAAGAAATAAGATAACGGATAAATTGTTTCATGTTATTGTAGATGGCACGGCCTTCTTCTACAGCAGCTACGATGGAAGAGAAATTGTCATCTGCCAACACCATCTCCGAAGCCGATTTTGCGACTGCAGTACCAGAGCCCATAGCGATACCGATCTCAGCCTTCTTCAAGGCAGGAGCATCATTCACACCGTCACCAGTCTGTGAGAGTAAAATGACGTAAAATTTTGTAATTTTCTTTAAATAAACTCTTTTAAATGATAAATATTTATTTTACATCAATTAATGTTAGAATAATAGAGATATTGAATAGTTCAGTGCTATCTAAAATAATTGTCAAACAGAAAATTTGACTTCGATTTCAAGAATCTTGCGTAATATTAGGAATTTTGAGTGGAAAAATATTTTAATAGAAATAAAGTACTCAAAACAATAAATCCTAAGCTAATTGGGGATAAATAAATCGCAGTTTCAGTTGTTCTTTTGAAAATTAAGCAAAGAATTTACAAGCTGTTTTCGAAATTGTAACTATAATAAAATCAAGAGAGAGTTAAGATCTAAATGAATTCAATAGATTAACTTGATTCAATAGCATCATTTATAATAACGATTGCAAAGAATAATCTGACTTACCATAGCAGAAATTTCATTCATGCTTTGTAAATATTCCACAATCTTTGACTTATGAGCCGGTTCTACGCGAGAGAAGAGGCGAGCTCTAGCGCAAGCCGCTTTCTGTTCTGATGTCGGCAGATCATCAAATTCACGTCCGGAATACGACTTGCCGGTGGTATCTTCATCCTCACCGAAGACTCCAATACGTCGGCAAATGGCTTCAGCAGTAGCCTTGTTATCGCCGGTAATAACGATTACGCGAATGCCAGCGGCGCGGCACCTAGCAATCGAATCAAATACTTCTTTACGAGGTGGATCGAGCATGCCCACTACACCAATGAATGTGAGATCTTTTTCGTATGTGTAGAATTTAGTGGAATCGCCTAGATCCATATCGTCAGGCTTCATCGGATGATCAGCGGTGGCGAGAGCAAGGCAGCGCAAGGTATCCCTACCAGTTCCGTATTGGCGGGTCAAATCCAAAATGCGGTTTTTTAGAGTCGAAGTCAGAGGAACCTTTTGACCACCAACGCGACAATGTGTGCATCTGTCAAGTACACCTTCCGGCGCACCCTTGACGAATAACTTCGGTCCAGTTCCTAGTTTTGATGATTTCAGAGGCACACAGTATGATGACATGGATTTGCGATCACGAGAGAACTCCAGCGTGAATTCCTTCTTCCATTTTGTTTCCATATCCTGCCTGACGACAATAGCGCCAGCTCGACGATCCAAACCGCTTTTCGGAACACCAAACGGATTAATTTTCTCAGCGAGAACGATCAAAGCAGTCTCTGTAGCCTCACCAACTTTCTCAAATGCCTGTTTGAATTCGTTAAAGTCGATAGCAGAATCGTTGCACATGATGCAGACTGTACTGATCTCTTGCAATGTTTCATAATCTTGTCCTCTAATTTTCTGACCTCTCAAGAAGATCTCGCCGATGGGTTCATAAGTCGAACCGGTGATTTCGAATTCATGGAAGCTGCTATCATTACCCTCAATCTTGTCAAAGATGAACATTCTATAAATGTTAAAATATTTTAAAAAATATAAATATTTTTATTTAAATTATATAACTAATAATATAACTAATTATATAACTAATTATATAATAATTAATTATATAACTAAGAGAAAAAGAAAATTTTCTTATTTCGTGATATTTCATTAAAAATTTATAAGTGAAATCTACGTCATAATACATAATCCTGTTTGCTTAATCATCTTACCGGCTAACGGACATCTGGTTAGTCGTCAGAGTGCCAGTTTTATCGGAGCAAATGACGGATGTACAACCTAGAGTCTCTACGGATGGTAAAGATCGTACAATCGCGTTCTTTTTGGCCATACGCCTGGTGCCCAGAGCCAAGCAAGTTGTGATTACAGCGGGCAAGCCTTCAGGAATAGCGGCTACGGCGAGAGCGACAGCAATTTTGAAGTAGTAAATGGCACCCTTAATCCAGGAACCACCGTGAGCTGGATCGTTGAAGTGGCCAATATTGATGGCCCATACAGCGACACAAATTACGGAGATAACTTTTGACAATTGCTCGCCGAATTCGTCCAATTTCTGCTGCAATGGTGTCTTGATTTCCTCGGTCTCCGACATCTCCGTACGGATCTTACCGATGGCCGTGTTTAAGCCGGTTCCAATAACAACACCGCGAGCCTTTCCGGCGGCAACATTGGTACCAGAAAACAAGATGTTCTTTTTATCCTAGAAAAATAGCAAAACAAAATTTATAAACAAACGTTGTCAAGACTTGCATGATCAAATGATCACACGAACGAACTTTGAAAACCTTATGAATAAAAGTTTTTTTTATATATATTTACAATTTTTTTCGAATATGAACTTTTGAAATTATACTGTTGATACTTGAGAGATGATGTTAGAAAAAGTATTGGAAATGTTTTTACACAGTTGCTTTACCTGATTGACAGCGCGTGGGTCGGGTATAGGGTCGGTGTGCTTGATCACGGACACCGATTCTCCAGTTAGAATGGACTGATCGATCCTGAGAGTAGTCGAGAAGATTTTGGACAGACGGATATCGGCTGGGATCTTATCACCGACTGATATTTCTACAATATCGCCAGGCACGATCTCTTTGGCTCGAATCCTCTGAACACCAGATTTATCCCCTCGTACAACTTTACCCATCTCGGGTTCGTATTCTTTGAGCGCCTCGATCGCAGACTCGGCATTTCGTTCTTGCCAGACACCGACCACGGCATTGGCGATAAGGATAAGCAGGATGACAAAGGGTTCGACGAAGGCCGTGAATGCATCCTCGTGCTCTTCAAATAAGGCTAATACCTGATGAGAAATAGATACTAGATCAGAGAGACTTAAAAAATAGTGATTCTCAGCAAATTATTGAATAAATGTGAAAAAAAATCATTTTTTTTGTTCACATGTTTTAAATAATAGTTTAGCTACAAATTAAAACTCCATAGAAAATGAGCTCTCAGAAAGAGAGCAAAGAAAAATTATTAAGAAAATATTAAACAGTTTTCTGTCTCTTCGCCACCATAACGATATCAGCTATTATAATAATATATTTCAGAAAATACAAACAAAATAATATGTATGTTAAATATATAAAAATACATGTTAGAAGATCAAAGATATATTTTCTAAGATATACACATTATCAAAAAATTTCTTTTCTCTATAAGCTATTACATCTAACGTAGTGATGAATTATATACTTAATTTCTGTAATTTGTAGATCAAACTAACTAGTGAACGTTATATATTTCTCTTATGCGCTCCGAGAAAATCAGATCACCACAGCTACTTGAAATCAATATGCTATTTTTTCACCTCTCATGAAAGATATATTTAGTCTCATTTACCCTTGAACCCCCGTAAACATATAATTACAGTGCTACAATAATGAAGCAATATACACCGGAAAATTCGACAAGAAAAAGAATATCTTGAACATTTAACATTATTATAATTTCTATGAAAGATTGAATCATGAAACTCTTTAATTTATCATAATTGCTAATGCAAATAATAATACCAACCATGTACATATATTAAACAGATTTATAGATTTTTTTATAGATTTAACTTTTTTCAAAAATATATTTATGTCAGAAGAAGTTTATTTACGCAAATTTCTGTAATTCAAAATTTAAACTTTAAATAAAATTTTATTTATAATTTTTAATATATCTATGGTCTTATACTTACAAAAGAAATAATAGCAGCTAATAGAAGAATCTTAACTAAAAGGTCATCGAACTGTTCCAAGACGAGTTGCCAGATGGATTTTCCTGTAAGCAAAAAATAAATTAAGTATTGTCAACAATCTTACGCAATGCATGAAATATGGGAAGATTGAAAAAATGAATTTTTGTTATAATGTAACAATATGTCTCATAATTCTTCCAAATTTTAATTTCCCAATTTAATTAAATAGTTTTAATATTATTCTAATACCTGACGTGATAATTATTACGACAAATTGGCATAAAACTTAAAAAAAAAATTATAAAATGTAGAATTCTATCTCAACGTGCACTTAATCTTTTAACGTAAAAACAATATAAATACTCGATTCAATAATTATATGAATATATCTAGTTCTTAACAAAAAAAAAGAAAATTAAAAACATGTATATTAAAAATCTACATTAAACATAACATATAATGCAGTATACAATAATGAAATCAATATTAAATACAATTATCAACAATATCTTATTATTATGTGACCTTGCATTATTATTAGCAATATAACGTGCATTCACAAATAGTATCTACGTCTCATTGAGAGTTTTATTTCTCAGGAAAAAATATTTTGTAAATTTTTCTTGCAATTTCATTACAATGATTTTATAATTCTTACTTATTAAATAATAGTCCATTGTAGTATTATGATTCTTTATTAAATAATCATAAAACCACTGTGGCATTATGATTCTTATTAAGGAAAAAATTTGTTGTGATAAAATTATAAGAAAAATTATTACGTATTATATCTTTTACCTTGTACTACAATAAAAATATATTTAATGATAAATATTTAATGAAAAATATTTAATGATAAATATATTTTATAAAAATTTTAATATAATAAATGTCGTAAGTTCAGCTCAAACATTTTTTATGTAGTAATTATGAAGTTATTTCTTTTTAAATCCGATTTACTAAAGCAATTGAAAAATTTAGCAAATTGCATTTTCTATATACATAATGACATCTGTCATTCCAATGTAACATGTTAGTCCAAAGATTCTAGTTTAATCGAAAACAACATACATGCTTCGTATACACGAGGAGCTAATTTGATGTTATAAGGAAAAATTTTCGTAAGCAGGTCTCATTTGTATGTGTCGGACACACCGTCGAAGACATGATGTAAGAATATAAGGTATATCATTGTGCATAATGGAAACAACTAATTAAATTGTGGCCTCATATGCACTTTCCTGCGTATAATAGTGCTGGCATATTGGAATAGCCAATCAAATTTTGGTCACAATTCATTCTCCTACTGCGCATCCTCGAGAATGGTATACCTTATCTTCTTACATCATGGTCGAAGACAGATTCTAGAATATACGTCAGGAAAGGATAAAAATTATAAACTAGTCAGGGGCAAGCCCTGGGCGTCCTTGATAGCTGGCGCCTTTTGCTTGCACGCGATTGACGTCATTGCTCCACGCTTGATGATTTCATTAATTGTAATTTACAGCAGCCGTCAAAGAGATGCGAAAATTCGATTATTATCTAGCAATTATATATATAAGTATCACACCCTTTCTCTATTCTATTTCTCTCCATTTTTCCTCGCATTGTTTTCTTTTCAGCGAATTAGATTATGTTTTTTCTTCTTCATTAACGACTTCATAACGATTTATGTTTGGAAATTCAAAACGACAAAATAACGAAATTTTCATGGTAAGATAATAATTTTTACAGTAATAAGCTGAACATCTTTTACGTAAAAGATTTGACAATAATACAGTTGTAATAATAAAATAATAAGTAATAATAAATAAAATGTGTGTCAATAATAGTTACAAATTGCATCAAATTATTTGCTAATCACAGGAAAAAAGACAGCAATAAAGAAATAATTTATACATAATTTCCAAGGACTTTTTTAAACATTTAACTATACAATTAAGTAATAAACAGAATAGCCGCATTTTTACATTGAAATTCATTCGTAATCAAATAATAAATGATACAATCAAAACCAACATAAAAATTAACGAATTAGGCACTTGTGTTAGCAAAATATTTTAAGTTGAGCAGGCATGTTATTGCATTGACATAATTGACAAATACCAATAAACAATTAGTTAAATATGAATTCTACAAATGCGAAAATAAAATTCTTACAATTTTCTTTTGCAAATTGCGTAATTTAAATAGTGGCTGTACAACAATGTTTAACGTTTAATTAAACAAGATCAATAAAATTAAAATTTAAATAGCTAAGCGGAAAACAATTGCTTAAAAAGTAAAAATGCGTATACTAATAAAATTCATAAACGACACAATCCTAATCATCATTAATTCTGCCAATTACGTAAATTATATATGCATGTTGTTCCTATACATACATTAATTGTACTAATATAGTGTATTAAGATCACTTTTAATACACGGTATGCTTTCCGATGTAACGCAAACACGTTACACGTATGCATTTCGTTACATAAATTGTACGTAATATCTTAGTGCACATTCCATCGCGTCTCGGAAATTAATATCGTGGTATGACGTGCTGTATAGTGCTGCGGACTAGCGCACATTTCTCCACGTCCTCTTCCTCCTCCTCCTCTCTTCTTGCTCTCTCACCCACGTACCTACGTGCAACATGCTTCATTACCGGATTCAGCGTGTGACAATAGACGTTGTCAATCGGCCGATAGAGCGTGGCGTGCACAGAGAGATCGCGGATACATGTACGACGGACAGAGCGCAGCAACGATTACAGGCAGTTGTGCGTTTGTAACCGGCCGCGCGATTAATTTACGACAGGAATCTCATTAATACGACTTTGATCGCGCTCTCCTCCGACGCATTTCAGGATTATATAAAGTGCGATGAAACGATAAAATATTGTGTGACTTCGACTCCAAGGGAGGGAGAGTACGCCTATTATGTACTCCCCTTTCTTTTATTCTAATTGCGCGATTACTCGTTCAAATTCATCAAGAAAATAAGCTTAGGAAAAGATCACTGCAATTTGTTATTAGCCACACTGAGAAAAAGTTTTTGATGACTGTAATTGTATATTACTATAATTTGTAGCAATTGCAATCATTTTTATGATAATAATAACTATAATTTGTTGTCATATTCAATACCAACTACATATATATATATATATTTGTTAAAAAATATATATATATAGTTATTAAAGGAAAGCCATCAAAATTAATATATGTCTCCTGAAGAGACATTCTATTTTCTCGAAAAAATTAATTATTATTTTATATAATGATAAAAACATGATTCGTTTAGATAATTAGAAAAGTAAAAACTCATATATTTGTTTCCATACCAACTAAAATCAACTAAAAATGAATTCTACAAATATGAAAATAAAATTCTTACGATTTTCTTTTGCAAAGCACGTAGTCATGCGCTCTTACTTCTTTCAAATAATTACCCCATTTTCCTAAAAAGCGTTCAGGCAAATATTATTTGCCTAAGAAAATAACATCAGGCAAATAGTATGTGCCTAAAATAATATAACTAGGAAAAGGTTTGGAAACTAGCGAAAGCCATTTGAAAGGCAGATAACATTTACTTAGTCAAAAATTATTTTCCTGAAATATACTATTTGTCTATGATAGCTATATTATTGATAATAATACATTTTACATCTTTGTAACTTTCTAAATCAATTTTTTATATTTTATTCATTATTTTTTCATAATACGATTTTAAATATAAAAGCCTAGTGTAGCATGAGAGAGAGAGAGAGAGAGAGAGAAAGAGAGAGAGAACTGGTGCATCTATCTGTAAGACAAATCATATGCTAACTTATCTTTATAGTGTTTATATTATAGTACCAAATAGCCCTATTCGAAGCTGAAGGCAATCATTTACGGGAAAACTCTCAAAAATAGAAATTACTTATAGAACAGCATAAAATATTCATATAAATCAACAAAAAATATTTTATATCGAAATAAAAAGTCTATAGAAAATCTTATACATTTATTATTATATTTTAAACAGATGATTCCAGAAAGAAAAAGAATAGGAATATGTGGCATATTATTGTGTCAATTTTGGGACCTATTTTCATATCAGACTTATTTTTGCTTATCTTATGAAAAAGTTAATTATTGCATAATTACAAACAAGTATTATAAAAATTGTTATATTATTTGATAGAAGATATTTTCTACTTTGTATTATGTTTTTACTTTAACTTTTGTTAAAAAGTATATTGTCCAAAAACAAAGTGGTATGTCAATGACCTTCGACTAACATTTTAACAACAATAATAATTATAATAACGGTAATACGTAATTATAGCGCTATAAATAGAAAATTTTTCTCTTTTTTTTCTCAAGCCAAAAATATTAAATATAATTTTTTAGATAGCCAAATCTGTCAAGTAATGCTAATTACCATGAAATCGAGATCACTGACGGCACTGTTGGGCTTGTAAAGGAAAAAACGATTATAGCTCTATTCACTTGTGTATAAAGAAAATTACTCTCGTAGGAGCTTCGCAAAAAACATGTTCTTAATGAAAAGCATGCATTTTTCATTAAGGTAAAAAAAGAAAACTTCATTTCTACGTTATCGGAATAAGTCGAAGAACTCAATGGAATTTGGATATTATTGCGTTCGAACGGTATTAATTCAATAAGGCCGTTGCCTATATCTTATCATCTATTTATCTTTGATAAAGCCGAAAACATTTGTTATTTGCAGGATCGATCTCACTGATTAACGTATTAAGCTTCGTGTTTTAATAGTCGCGACATCAAGGTCGATCTAATTTTCACGTAATTGCTTTTCAGCGGGATCTATTATATATTGAAATATATTACATACACATGCGTATAGTATAGCGATACAAATTCCACGCCTGCAATCGATCTAATCGTCAACGTCAGCTTTCGAGCCAATTTAATTCCGATTTATCGAAGTCAATTTCAGCAGTTTGATGCAATCCAGGACGTATTTTCGGAAAATGTGAAAAATTTTCTCTCGATTCTCGCTCTCCTTTTTTTTTTATTTTAGTTCGCATCATGAACGATAACGCCGAATGAAAGCTACGACTACGGCGAGTCGATTCATTGCCGAAGGTCGACACGACGGAAAGATAGCGCGAGACTTTGTGCGGGTCGAATGCCGATGCAATTACGACCGAGTCGAAGGCGACGTACGGCGCTATGCGCTGACGTCTTTCGACAAATGGGGGCAAGTGACCCAGGTATTCCTTAGATCCTGCAAGTCTCTCGTGACAGTGCAATATACCTTTCCTACATTTCCTTCTGCCGATACTTTATTTTATATCTATAGTATAGTATAGTACGTTTCATCAAATACTTTATCTTTGCTGCTATTTCCTCAAGGATTACACATATTTTGTAACAAAAATAAAAATATTACAAATTTTTCCACACTGTAAAAGTTATATATAAGAAGTTATAAAAAAGTTATATATACAAAAAGTTAAATATACAAAATTTGATGGCAATTTATTTGAATCAAAAATGATTTCAATAAGTAGACATATTTGTAAAAAATAATTTGTAAAATATTTGTAAAAAGATAAAATAAGAAAATTTTCATTTTAATTATAAAATTACATCGTTAAATACAATTATTGATTTTATTAAATCGTTTCATATGCATTTATTTTTATACGAAAAGTACAAATTTTCAATTTTAATTACTTTTAGCAGACTATACGCACTTGATGCCTTCCTATAATCCTTTATTAGTAAATAAGTCTCGGAAAAAGAACATTTTATTGGAGATTTTTTTGTTATTGTATCAGATTAGATTTATTATTTACAGATTTTTAATTATAGAAGAGAGATATATAAAGTTAGAAAGAGATATTTACCAAAGACATCAAAAAACGAGAAAATATAAGAAAGATCCATGCTCGACGTTACGTTCAAAGAGCTCGAATATAAAAAGCATTTATCATAAAAAGTATTGAATATTTTTTCTATATTCCGCATTTATCATATCTTTTATATTTTATTTTTTATATATAAAAAATGGGTATACTCATTCTACGTACATTTGTCTTTCACTGTTTTTTCACCTTTTGTTTTGATTAATTGACATTGTAAAGTTCCTGAATATAATCCCAAGAATTCTCAGATTTCTCAGAAGTTGCAAAGGCGATTTTGCGAGCGGCGGCATCAACGACAATGTGTTGCATTTGTAAGTGCAACATAGCGATGCTAATTCTCAAAGCTTATGGAATTCCAAGAGCAAGCGTGACCTACTTTGACAGCAAACACGTGGTTAAAATCTTCCCTGCAAACGACCAACGTTTGTCCAGACAGGTGAGAAGAGAAATTCGGAAATTTATAAATTATAAATTAGCACCTAATAAAACGCTGATAAAGTTACGGCTCGATATAAAAACGAGGCATAAGAAAAAAAAAAGTTCTCGATTTACAAACTTGCCTTGCTATCAAAAGCAATTTGTATGCCAATTTGTCGCAAACCTGTTTTCTACTACGTCAAGCAACGTCGAAAGACGATAGTTGGTACTCACCCTCCTCAGCTGGCAATTCTGTAACATAAAAAGGGAAATATTAAAATATCACCTCATATCTATATATCGAATAATAAAACTATAATAAAGTGCAAAAATGTAAATCAATATTATTTTAAGTAACAATGATTGCTGCAAAAAGTACACTTCTCATAAGATTTTAATATCAAAAAGCTTAGCAATTAATTTTAAATAACTTCATAATTATCAAATGGAAATAAATTATTCAAATATTACTGTGGAAAATATTTTAAACTTTTTGAAAATTAAACAGTGAATATACATACTTTATAAGTATATATAAAAATTATATGTTCAATCCGAAGTATTTAAACGCTATGAAGGATCCGCTTTAAGGTGTCCTAGTTGAAATTATACAGAAATGTCAAGAGTGTAGAATCCCATAATTTGACGCGAACAAATTGAAGGAAACCACGAAAACGAATTTGGCATGCAAAATGGGCGTAGGGGAATTCCCTAGGGGAATATCTAGTGATTGAGTTAAACGTGCAAGTGACAGTTCTTGAATGCTGAAAAGATTTATAGTAGACGTTATGGAAGTTCTCTAGCTAATGCGAAATGGATCGAAGTTTTGCAGAAACTTGTTCAATATTATCGAATTTCGCTTAAAATCTTGTACACGTTAACAATGACTTCTCCAAGAGATTAAACAAACGTCTATCAGAAAAACTCAATAGACAATTATTTCAAAAATTATTTCGAAAGCATTAAAAAATAATTAATTAATTAAATTATTATAAGAATAACCTTCAAAATATTGAAAAAAAATAAATAATTGAAGTTTAAAAAAGAGATACGTACAAAATCGCAAGCAAAACTCAAGAATTTTAACGATTATTTGAATATTAACGATTATTTGAATAATGTTGATAAAATGAATTTTTATCAACGCGCTATTACGCAGCCAAAAGGTCAGATATTTTTATCATATATAAGAAAATCTCTGATCCAGTTTAATCCACGAGGTCGATTACTCTTTCGAGCGTTCATTAACGTCTAGAAATTGGGTGTGTGGGCGATCGTGCGTCTCTGTGAATTCTAATAGCATCGTTGTATAAATATTTACACATTAGGAAAAGGCAGAATCTCGTAAGACATCTTGCCTAATAGCGATTTCAGTTTGACGCACTAGTGCATATTAAAGCTGTCGTATACAAATCAACGTAAAGATGTATGTTTAAATAAAAATATGTAAACGAATTAAACCGCGAAATCTTTATATACTTTATTGTGTTGTTTAATAAGATATGTATTAGATATCGTTTGAAATACATCATCTTTACTCAGATTAGATCAGTGTACAGTTTAAATGTGTAAATATGTACCAGTGCATCTAGCTACGTCCTGAATTCGCTATTAGAAATTCGAACATAAAGGAACATTGGTATGTACATAAAAAGAATAATTTTGTTGAAAATTCTAAAATTGTAGCAAGATAAAGATCTGAAAATTTGAACCATCGCTTAAACTAATTTAAAGTTTAGAACATCGAAACTTTTGCAGTATTATGCAGTATTATTTGCAGTATTATCATCAAATTTGAGTAATTATTTTGAAGATCCAATAAAATTATCTTTTAACTGTTTATTTAGTTAATTTTGTAAATACACTAATAAAATCATTCTTTTCATGTATCAGTTATATATGTTATGTATGTTGATCTTTTAGATTGTTTATATTTTCATGGAAAGGATAATTTTGTTGTAATATTTAGAAATTTAACAAGATACAGATCTGAAATATAATCTTGTTGAATCATCAAAATAATTATGTAAGATGCTCGAACTAGTTGCTTGTTAAAACTTTTTACAGCATTGCTTATCATGTTTAAGATTTCTACGTAATCATTTTGATGATTACGCCCAAATAAAATTATTTCAGGATTTGTATTTAGCTGAATTGTGTTAAATATTTCAGCAAAATAAAAATTGTTTCTTCTGTGTTCTCAATTTCTTCAATATGGATCTTTTCTTGAATAAAAATTTATTGCATATGCTGTCCTTTTTTCACAACGTCTCTCATCTTTAAAGTTAAATGTTTAGCAAATTAACTTCATCTAATTAGCTTCAAGGATTAGAAACAAAACTTTATTACATGGTATCGAGTCTGCTTAGAAATAAATGACGTTAGATGATATACATTTTGTTGGAAAAGATCGAGGATGGATGCAGAGAAGAACCGTGTTTGCAATATGGAAAAGCAAACTGTCTATCGACGTGAGCGGCTTGTCTGCTCGCGATACGTACGGAGTGACACGTGAGGAAAAACAGAGCCACGTGGGAGTCATTGATTCGTATACTGGATCCGCATAGATTTTCCTTGAATGGCCGTCTCGCGATTGAAGTGTTCAACAGAGAACATGTCGCTTCCCGTGAAACGTACACAGCAATGGGATTCTGAAAGGCCGCGTGTAATTCTCGGACTTACATAAAGCCAGGCGTGAAAGCGTTTGTCGCACGAATAATAACTTCAATTTCACATCGATTGCACCGTTGCAAAACTCGTTAATTCGCACGTGAGCATTGTACCTTGAAACCTAATATCGAGATTCATATTCTTGAAAATGATATCAGCAAATGTCGATGGTCAGGGATGAAAAAGGGAGGACGTCTTTAATAATATAGTTCTAATATCAGAATTATTTCTATCAGTTTTTCGATAACAAATTTCTTAAAAAAAAAAAAAATAGAGTATCCTACATAAGTTACAATTGTACACGGTTGTTTCGCTGAAGTATCTATTAGGTATACAACTTTGCTTCTGCCGTTTTCCTATAGATGGCTTTAGCGATAAATGGTGGTCGAAATAAATAGATCATAGACATCATACAATAAACTTGGGCATCTGTTAACATAACCCCATAGAAACTTTAGTCGATTTGTGTCTGCATCATAAAGTTCTTCTCGATTGAAAATGTCAATTTACGAGCCAAATTCTCGTCATTTGCGGAAGGTTTTAATTTTTTGCTGCAATATGAAGAAATCTGCGGCTGAGGCTCCTCGAATGTTCTCAAATACTTATGATGAGGCCGCTATTAGTGAAAGAACGTGTCGTGAATGGTTTCAACGCTTCAAGAACGGTGATTTTGATGTCGAAGACCGGCATAGCGGTGGAAGAGAGAAGATTTTCGAAGATGCAGAATTGGAGGCATTACTTGCGCAAGACTCGTGTCAAAATCAAGAAGAATTGGAACGATCATTGGGAGTGCCTCAACAAGCCATTTCAAAACGCCTCAAAGCCATGGGAATGATTCAGAAGCAAGGAAATTGGGTGCCGTACGAATTGAAGCCGATGTTGAACGGCGTTTGTTTGCTTGTGAACAGCTGCTTGAAAAGCAAAGACGGAAGGGATTTCTGCATCGCATTATAACTGGGGACGAAAAATGGGTTCATTACGATAATCCCAAGCGCAGAAAATCATGGGGAATTCCCGGCCATGCTTCCACGTCGACGGCCAAACCGAATATTCACGGCTCCAAGGTCATGCTCTGTATTTGGTGGGACCGGGGCCAGCTCGGCGTAGTGTATTATGAACTGTTAAAACCGACTGAAACAATCACAGGCGATCGGTATCGAACGCAATTGATGCGTTTGAGCCGAGCATTGAAAGACAAACGGTCGCAATACAACGAGAGACACGATAAAGTGATTTTGCAGCATGACAATGCTCGACCCCATGTTGCGAAAGTGGTCAAGACATACTTGGAAACGTTGAAATGGAAGTTGAAATGGGAAGTCCTATCCCACCCGCCGTATTCTCCAGACGTTGCTCCCTCTGACTATCACTTGTTTCGATCAATGGCACACGGCCTGGCTGACCAGCACTTCCGGTCTTATGAAGAAGTAAAAAATTGGATCGATTCGTGAATAGCCTCAAAAGATGACCAGTTTTTTCGACGCGGGATTCGTACGCTACTCGAAAGATGGGAGAAAGTAGTGGCCAGCGATGGACAATACTTTGAATCATAAATGTATAACCAGTTTTTTATAATAAAGCCTCGAATTTCGGAAAAAAAAACGGCGGAAGCAAAATTGTACACCTAATAAAAATTTAGCTAGATACAGATCTGAAAATAATTTGTTAGATTATCAAAATAATTATGTAGGATGGCCAGTTGATTGTTAAAATACAAAAATTTTTTGCAGCAATGCTCATCATGATTGAATTTCTTACAAATTATTTTGATAGTCCAACAAAATTATTTTCACACTGAGAAAAATAATCTGGTTGGATTAAATAGTAATTCTGAAAAATGAAATCAGAATTTTCTTGTTGTCAGATGTTTCTTAAATCTAATTAAGTTCTTGTTAAATCTAGAATTCTAGTTGAGATAAAATTCTGATTGATATAATTATTCTTTCTAAAAATAAAAAATTATTTTACCAGAAATATATTGTATTCAACCAAAAATTCCGATTGTCTCAACTAGAATTTTAATAAATTTAATCAAAAATTCTGATTCGTTCATTTTCAATCAGAAATTTTTTTTAGCAGATCTGTATCAATTTTTTTTAACTACCTCACAAAATCGTTCCGCTTTCTAAATCTTTTGGAGTCAAATTTCACTCCAAAAGACTGAAAATTGAGTCTTAAAAAAAAAAAAAGAAAAGTTTTCACTCTTTTTTCAAGATTGCTCAATTTTCAGTCCAAAAGATCTAGAAAGCGTGTATCACAAAAATCTCGTGAAATACAATCAATGTTAAATTTCCATAAATTTCCAAGATTGAGGGTAATGAAATGAAATGATTGAGGATAATCAATATTAAAGGCTGCAGGATAAGCATCGAATATACTCTCGTAAGAACACCTGGAGGCACACAATCCTCTCTGGCAAGTGACATCGATCGCGTTTTACGCACACTACGAATACACGAGTCAGCTACGGGAGGTGGCGTCGTTACGCCGTACGGAAGCAAATGCGGCGCGATCGAGGTATGATCGAGCATAGGCGGGAAAAGGTGCGGAAAAAGCTGGGAATTTTCCCCGCGCCATGCGAG